GGATGGCTGCATGAAGCTCCTCTCCACTTACAGACCACTGAGCTCCCGTGGGCCAGGGACTGTCTCCCAATCAGAATAGGCAAACATCTAGGGCCAGGGTTCTGTCCCCCTCCAACTGGAGTTTCCCCCCAGGTCAGGCTGTATCTTCTTCCTCCTCCTAGGAAGGTGGTCAGTCAACATGTGTAGTTGGTGATACTGAAAAAGCTCACAAAGAAAGATCTGGTGCCTCTGGCCTTCTGTTCCAAAATTTCCAGCCCTGTCTTTGGCTCTGAGGTCTGCCAGAAAAACACCAGCCTGACTTATTATGGTAGACTGGGAAGTGATCCTCCTCCTCCAGCAACCTCTTCCCTCAACTGGCGGGGAACATGACTTTGTCCAGACTGCATCTATGCTCTTTGTCCTCCCCTGCTGGAAACCAATCCAGACAATTGCACTTGACCCCACTTCCCAGACATGCCAGCCGTAGAGAAGATAAGCTTCGGCCTGGGATGTCTCCTCCCCCAGCAATTCCCGTGGGAATTTCTCTGAAGTCTAAGGCCTGTCACAGCTCTGGCTCTTATCTGCAGCAGGACGGACCCCCAGGCCCAGTCTCCAGTGCTAAAATGTCATCTAACCCCACATCCGGTCTCCAGCCAAAAGCCACTAGCAGCAGCAGCGTCAAACACAGTGAGACTGATTGACATCTTTCCAGCTTTCATAGCTTTCAAAACAAATTCATTAACTCCTCATTTAGAGACACTCATACCTTGTGCCCATTTTATAGAAGAGGAAACTGAGACTCAGAGCAAGGAAGATTCTGGTCCAAGGCTACACAGCAAATAAATAGAAGGTTGGTCTTCTGATAGTTCATCCTCTTATCTTCCCACTAGCTGACTTACAGTACTCCAGCCATGGATTTGCCCAACTTAGTTTGGCCTGTCCTTGCATGCAGGATAAAAAATGAGAAAGAGGACCAAATCCTTCTGAATTGCCCAGCAGCTCTGCAGTTCCTTCGGGCTAGAAGGACCAGAGTGGAGAATTAGGAGGAATTTCCTAGCAGAAAGCTACTAGAAGAGGAACTCATGCTCAGAGAGGAGGGGAGAGGATGGACTGAGATGGAGTGGCCTCTAGATCACCGAGGGAGATGATGCCCTGAATCCCAGGACTCTTTCTTCTTTCCCCTGCACCCTTATACGTGGCCTGGAACTCTCCATTCACCCCTTGGAATAGAATACTATTCTATTCCACTCTGGCACCCTTCCCCAGACAAAGCCTGGGGAAAACTAAGGCCCAACCATCTATATTTGAATGAGTTGGTCTGGATCTTGTGGCTCCTTGACAGGACACGTGGGTGCAACTCAGGCAGGAGTTGAAGGAGAGAAGACTACAGACAGGAAGGCAGGAGACTTTGCCCACCTTTGCTCTTGTCAAGGGAAGGGAGAAGACAGTTCTCAGGGCATATCTCATGCAAGTCTCGGAGGTGAACGTGGTCAGTCGGGGTTCCTTGCAGGGCAGGATGGAGGTAGGAAGGCAGCCCCAGGCTTGTGGCTGGAACAGACTGTGGTGGAGGGAGGAGATAGAGCAAGTGGCCCACTTTGATGCTTGAGTTAACCTAACTGGACTCCAATATTGCTAATTCCTCCTTCCTACCCCTCTCACTACTAATTCAGCTTCAGAATTAAAGCTCACAACCCCCAAACCAATCCCTGGGCCCCACCCTGTCCCCTCATCATTGGACAGCCCCCCCTTGTGACCCAGAGGAGTCAGCTTCGAGGCAATCACTGTGTCACGCTTCAAAGCCACTGAGCCGGCTCCGGATGGGGGCAGCGGGTTTCACTTACCTTGCCTGGCAGCCTGCCCAGGGCAGCTGGGATGCAGCTGGGAGACCTGGCACTTCTTCCTGCCCTCTCCCTCAGAATTCCTGCCTCCCTGTCCACCTCCCTTCACCTTCTCTGGCTGGACATGGGCATTGGGGGACCCTTAGTGACTCCCTTAAGGCAGAAAAGGTGAGAGCTGGCAGACATCACCCTCTGGCTCATTCCATCTATCCTACCTTGCATCCCATATTGTGAAATGCATGCCAGGAGGAAGTGTCCGAGTGGTAACTGGAAGCAGGGCTGAGCCCCGCTGAGATGCAGGTTCTGTCTCTCCAATCCTTGGGACTTGTGGAGATCTCAATGAGGTGAAGGCTGAAAGAGCTGGGATGAAGGGAGGAGCTGCCTGGGGTGAATGACAGGAAGTGTGACTGTGAAAGGCCACATGCAGTGGAAGAGTAGAGGCACCACTACTTCCTTCTGCGGCCCATGGGCAAATGGATTGACCTCTTCAAGCCTTAATCTATTCATCTATAAAGTGGTGAGCCCAGCACTGCCTTCCTGGAGTGGCTGTGGGGACAAGGGAGACAGTCATGTGCATTTCCTGGCCCTTAGGAAGGCACTAGAAGTGCATGGTGTTACTGTCTGCTCTCCCATTTGGGCTTGGAAGCTGGTTGTTGCTGCAGGTTGGTTCCCCAGTGGCTGCCAAGGACACTGGGCACAAGAAGGTTCACGTTGGGTCATGATGGTGCTGGGTTAGTGTAGGTAGCTGTGATGGTGACAGCGATGGAATGGTAGAGATGGAGGTATGATAACGGTGGTCACAGAAGTGGTGGTTTTGGTGTAGGTGACTGTTATGATGGTGTAGTGTCCCAGCAAAGCATATCTTGACCACAGCTATGCTGCCTGTGGTACGGTCAAGCAAGGTGTCACATTATCAAATAACCCTTACATCAAATGACTAACATACTAGAACATCAGCTCACAAGGGCAGCTGCTTTTGTTCATTGCTGAATCCTTATTGCCTGGAAGAGTGTGTGCTCAACCAATACCTACTGAATGACTAAGAGTGAGATTGTCCCTCCCTCCCAATCAGCTTTGTCACCTCACTTGACCCTTGCCATGCCCCTTCAAAATTCCCACCATATGGATGAGAAAACCAAGACCATGAGAACTGATGTAACCTGCCTCAGAGCATTCAGGAGCAAGCATGGGAGAGGAAGGCAGGCATTCTTACCGGGCCTGTCTGACTCCCACAGCAGCTCTCCGTCCTCTGCGTACTTCGTGGCCACTCTTCCTGTCAGCACTCAGCAGTACATTTCGGTCTTGTGCCCTGCCTTAATCATAGAAATACCGCTAATAATAGTAACAATTGCTGTTTGTAATTGTTCAAGTAAGGCTTAAATGATCAAGACCATGGAAATTATTAATAACCCAGGCCCAGCCATGGTGGTGTGGGTCATATTAAATTGTGTTGAGATGGATAACCTTAGCAATATTTATGGGATCATAAATTAATAACAGGAGTATTTAAATTAATGCCACACTGTCGATACCCTTGGTAGTAAGCAGCTCAACTGCTGTTATGCTAATGTTGTCCCTTCTTGCCTTCCATGAATTCAGCTGAGAGGAAGGCAGGTCTGTAAAAGCAGTGGGAGGAGGAGATGCCTTAGAAGTGATCTCTGTGTGCAAGGAGGGAGTCCTCAGGGACTTCTGAGGACATGCTTGCTGCCTGGACTTTTACGCCCAGCCTTGGTGGCTGACAAACATTAATGCTCGAAGCCACAATGGTGTATACCTGTCCTTTCTGGGACCCTCCCCTAGACTTTGCTGATTATTGAGGAAGAATTCACAGGACAGGATTTTTTCCCTTCAGGAATGGATGAACCAGTGTCAGCTGATCTAGGAAATCACATACAAATGGTTAGCAGGCCCTCTTTGTAAGTGCTGTTGGTCTCCCCGCTGTTCCTATTCTTTGGGGGAGTGGTAGCATTTTTTCCAAGAGGAAACTGAGATTCAGACATGGCCAAGAAGTGAGTGCTGGGATGGGCTTTGCAGACTTACCCCTCACAGCTCTGTGCTCCAGAGTTTTGATGTCTGGGAACCAGAAAAGGGTGGGGACAGGGAAGAATGGAGGTGAGGTGGTGCTTCCCATAAAAGATTGGTGGCACCCAATCTTTCAGATGACTGGATCAGTGATTTTTACCTGCCAAGGGTGGTCCATTCAACCACTTTCCCATTGATTCTCTTCTAGAGAGCATTATTGAGCAACTACTGTGTACCAGGCATTCAGTTGAGAAACCATAGGCCCTGACTGTAGGAGGCTCATCAGCTCATAGAAACACAGTCTGGAGACATCTACATTGTTGAGGATGCGTCTATGCATTCACATGTAGGTGTGTGTTCATGAATGTGTGTGCATTTGTGTAACTACATACATGTGAGAGTTTGTGTGAATGTCACTGTACATGTACACATGCAAATGTGAATGTATGTGTGAATGCCTATTGGAGGTGTTGGTGCAGGACGAGCAAATTTACACAGTGCATGAAGAGGTGTGGGCACATGTGAGTTCACCTGTACAGGTGAGATTGAGTGTGTGTGTATTTCTAGGTTTTATGTGTACACCTGTGACCCCTCCAAGCCCATTACTTTAATGATGTTGGGATGGACTCTACCTTGAATGGCCTTACTGCACATCATCATCAGGTCAGGCTGTCCGCATCCCTCCCTCCCCCGTCCCCAGCACTGGGAAGGGGAGGGATCAGAATGGGATAGGGATAGGGAGTGGTCATGAAGGGCAAGGAGGGCAGCTGGCATTCTTGAGAAAAAGGGCTGCGTAGGGAGCCAGGCACCGGGAAGCAGCTGAAGCCAGAGGTGGAGGAAGATGGGTAAGAAAGTGAACCCTACAGCCGTCGGCAATCAGAGGCAGAGGAACAGGAGCTGCAGTAGTTGCGCCCTGGTTCTTGAGCGCGCAGCATCCAGGAGCGACGAGCAGCAGTACCGGCGGTGCATTGGGTACCCGGGTGGGGTGGGTCAGGGCGCCCAGAAGCGTCTCTTCTCACGCCTCCCCTCGCCTCCTTTCGGCTCCCCACCCTAAGGCAGCAGGGCGGGAGGGCGCGGTTCCGGGGGTGGGCGGGCTGGGCGGGGAGGAGGCGGGGCCGCTGCACTGGCTTCATCCAGCAGCTCCCGCCCTCAGCCAGAGCGAGCGGAGCCTCGGCCAGCTTCCGCGAGAGGCTGGTGCTGGGCGCATCCTTGTCTGTCCGCAGAGTGGACTGAGCTGGGAGCCTAGCGCAACCGGGAGGCGGGCGATGGGGGCAGGTGCTGCCGGCCGCGCCATGGACCGGCCGCGCCTGCTGCTGCTGCTGCTCCTCGGGGTGAGTGCTAGCCAGAGGGAAGACTGTTCCCTTCCCCGGGAGCGGAACCCCGAGGGGAGCCGGGTGCCACCATCCAGAAAACAGAACAGAGTGTTAGGGTCCCAGATGCTGGGAGTGGGCAGCGGAGAGGAGCTCCGATGTCGGACCCACAGAGGAGTGTGTAGGATTCTCAAAGCGCAGAGATGATCCCAAGTCCCAGGTTAGAGATGCGGACAAGACTGGGTCACGGTGCTAGTCCTCGGTTAGTGCAGGGGAAGGGGGTAGGGTAGAGGAACTGGGAGGGAGAATCTGTCAGGAGGGAGTCATGGGGATCTCAGATGCCTGGGTCCTTTGGAAGAGTGCACTTGAATGCCAGGATCCCAGGAGGACTTTCCCCTCAGCATCTTGGTCTCTGGAGAGTCGTGAGACAGAACCGATATGAGAGGAGGGGTAATGAGACCCGGACTAGAGATGTGAGGGGCGAACGGGGCTGGGGCGGGGACCGGAGACGAATGGATGGAACAATGGGGGAGGAGGTTGGAGGGACTGGAGGCAGTGGGGACCAGGCATGGACAATGGGGACTGGCCAGACAATGGGGGGGGAGGGGCGTTTGGAGGAGAGATTCGGGGAGCGGGAAAGGGGTTGAAGAGGGAATAGAAGCGGATTTTAAGGAGGGCAGAAAAGAGACAACGGCAAGGGAAATCTAGAGATGGAAGCAAAAGGAAAGCAGAGGGAGAAGCGGGTGTGTACCCTGAAGTGCTCGGGGCCCCTGCTGCCCACTGAGGGACAGTGGGATGAAAAGAGAGAACAGCGGCACCGATGTTTCCCGCGCCTGTTCCAGCGCTTTTCCTCCCGGCCTCGCCCAGTCCAGGAATTGCGGCTGGGTATCCCGGGCTGGGAAGGGAGTGCCCACTTCGCCAGGGTGAACTCGCTCCCCGGGTTCCTCCAAGGCTGGCGGGCTTTTCCGATGAGCGCGTTCACACGGTTTGATTCACTGGAGCGGACTAGGAGGGATGGAACCGGCGTCCCTTGACCCCGTCTAGCCACTGCCAAGTCTTGGGGTGCGGAGCGTTGGGATGCACAAGGCGGTGTCGGTCCCGGCCGCGCACAGCTACCGGCTGCGTAGACAGGAGGAGACCCGCAGGGGGCACTGCGGGGCGGGGGATTGCCATTCGCAGCTGCGGGCGCGCCTGGGACTGCGCACTGCCACCCCCCCCCTTTAAGTTACGCGACCCCAGCGCAGCGCCCACTGCGCTCCTGCGGCTCGCAACCCTAACAAGGTCGGGATCCCGCCCGGCTTGCGGTGGAAGCCACTGAGTCCTTATTGAGACAGAGACCCTTCCTTGGACGCCTGGGATTCTGTCCGGAGTTGTCCAAAGGTACTGACTCGGCCAAGGTCGGCAGTTCCTCCTTGTAAGTATCTGAGTCCTCTGGGTATTTCTGACCAGATCTTCAGATGTGACCCGGTGTGCGGCCATGAACTGTGAACATCGCCCCCTGAAAGACTGGCGGTGAAAGTGGGATTCTTGCCCTCCTTGCCACCTTCATGTTTCAAGTGAGCATTGCACCCCAGGTTCCCATTTTACCGATAAGGAGGCTGTGGCTCTTAAGAATTTAAACGACTTGGCCAAGATCTCACAAGCACCTTGGGCCAGAGTCATGTGGCTGGAACCCCCCCACCTGATACCAGCTCTGTATCCCCAACCCCACCTCTCATTGGGGCAGCTGGGTGCCCCAGCTCTGCCTAAGAGCTGCGCTTTTACTGCGGGGATGGGGTTAACACCATCCTATAGTCTGGCAAGCGGTGGAATACTGGAGTGAGTGGCTAAAGACCCTCTTTGGGCTCTGGTCCCATTCCCAAGCTCAGCCCTGGCTCCCTAGAGTTGTCGGTACCTGAGGCTTCCTCCGGCGATTTTGGGGTGACTGCAGGAGTGTTTGATTCCTAACGCCGATGGTTGGGAATACTTCTTGGCTGTGGTGGATAAGAGGGGCGAGGAGGAGGGACTGGGGCAGCCTGTAGTTCAGATCGGGGAGGTTCAAGGGTGTGGACTCTGCACCTGGGCAGGACAGGGTGTCCAGGAGTCGAGAAGAGGGGAGCTGGGCACGGGGGCGGGGGCGGTCCTGGTAAGCTCCCGGCACAGAACCTGCCGACTGTAGCCCTAGCGGCTCTAGCCTTGGCCTCTACGCCTGGTCTCTCTGTTTGAGCCGGCTCTGAGCACCGAGGCTGTCCGAGTTTCTTCCTGGGCCATGGCGAAAGTGCTGAAACCAGAGCGCGTCCCGGCGGGTCGGCTGGCGGGCCGCGCCGGTAATGGAGGCACTTTGTCATTCAGACGTCTGTAACAGGAGCCGCTGGGCTGGCTAATGCGCCTAATAGGGATGCAACGGCGAGGGCAGCAAATGGGCGGGCGTGAGCGGCTGGGCACTCCGGCAGAGAAGGGGGGCCACCCATCCCACTGTTCTAGCCTAGTCTGGCCCGAACACCTAGCTTCCTCCCTATAGGACAAGGTGGACAGGCGGGAGCAATAAAATTTGTTGAATGCCCACTGTATGCGCCATACTGCCCTGGATACTTTCTCTTGTGTTATTTAATCCTTAACAGGTCCCAGTAAGGTAAATTTAGTCATTCTGATTTTACAGTTGAGGAAGCTGAACCTCTCAGACGTTCAGGCAGGAGGCCAGGCTCCCCCCTAGTAAGTAGAGGCACTGCTAGTGGGATCTAGGGGGCTTAGCTCCCAGTTTACTCTGTCCTCCCTATACCAGGCTCCCTCCCTTCCAGATCTCCCTCCCCAACTTCTATGTATTTTTCTTTTCTTTTTTTTTTTTTTTTTTGGTGGTACTGGGGTTTGAAGTCAGGGCCTTGAGCTTGCTGGGCAGGCATGCTACCTCTTGAATCACTCCCTCAGCTCCCTCCCCAACTTCTAGAAAGGAAGGGTGGCCTGGAACTTCTCCTAGCCTGGGATGTTAGATCATGACTTTTGTCTCTGCCCCCACCCCCACCTCCTCCCCAGCTCCCTCCTGAAGTCTATATGGCTTCATCATAGGCAATTAGCTCATCTCCTACCCACCATTCAACAGCTATTCAAAGAGGGGTATATGTGTGGGGGGTGCCAGTGCCTCCCCTGGGTTTGCCTCCACCTAAGACTACCCAGATATTTGAAAACCTCTCCCACCCTATGGATGCCACTGTGGTTTCATTCACTAAGGAAGCTTTGCCAAAAATGAGAATGATCCAGACTGATCAACCAGAATTATTTATATAGTTTCAAACACTTTCAAGTATTTTGGTATGTTTTCTGTTTTGTCCGCCCTGAAATGGCAAAAATCTATTGTAAACATTCTGGAAAATGGGAAATCATTCCATCATTCTAGCTTTGAAATGAGTCAGTGTGATATAACTTGCAGGCAAATTATTGTTTTGATTAATTGATCATTTTGGATCTGATTTCAGTACACTTAGCCTTCCTTCTTGGCACACCTCTTCCCTCCTACTTATGTCCTGCCTGAGATCAGCTGCTCATACTCTCTAAGACAAGCTACTTCTTTGGTAACTAACATTAACTGAACTTTTATTTAATACACCAGATGTGTTTACATAAATTATTGCACTCAGATCTCACTACAACCTTGTGAAGTAGTTATTACCAGCCCAGTGTTTTAGACTGGGAAAACTGAAGTTTAGGGAGATTAAGTCACATACTATTAAGTAGCAGATCTGGGATTTTATGATATAAGGAACATAAAACAAGCACAGGTAACATGGCCTCGACTCCAAATGCAGGTCTTGAGAGGAAAGAGAGGACAAAGGATAGGGAGAATAGGTTTCTTAGAAGAGGTGCTTGCCCAAAGCCACCATACCCCTCACAACTACCATAGACAGACCCTCAGTTATCAGAGCCCAGGGGTCTCTGTTGACCTCAGCTAACGGGAATAAAGTCCAGGGCCACAGAGGCAGCAAGAAATGTACTGATGTACTGGAAGAGAAAAAAGAGAGCCAGATTCCAGAGCCTCATGCCTGTAATTCTCGCCACGTAGGAAGCTGAGATTGGGTGAGGTTCTCGCCACATAGGAAGCTGAGATTGGGAGGATCTCAGTTGGAAGCCAGTGGGCTGAGGGGTGGAGGGGGTAGTTTTTGAGACCTCATCTCCAAAATAACCAGAGCAAAATGGACTAAAGGCACAACAGTAAGCACCTGCTTTACAAGCGTGAAGCCCTGAATTCAAATCTCAGTCCCACCAAAGAGAGAGAGAGAGAGAGAGACAGACACATACACAGACACAGAGACAGACGACACACACACACACACAGAAAGGGAGAGAGGAAAGGTCCAAAATGAATTAACATCTTATTCATTTAACACTAACAGCAATCTATGAAGCAGGTACTGTCACAGTTACCTAGTAGTGAGGAAACAGAGGCACAGAGAAATTTAAAAGCTGCCCCTAGTCACCCAGTTTCAAATTCAGAGCAAAGGAAGCAGCTGAGGAGGAGTCACTGTAGTTCACACTTTCGGCTCAGAGAATCGCCTCTCCACCCCTCCTGGGTCAGCTCCTGCTTACTATCTTTCCACCCTGATCAGTGGTGCTGGAGGAGGGGCTGCTTAGTAACAGCTAAGAAGTGACAACTGACACCTTGACAGGAAGGGAGGAGAAAGAAAAACTATCAAAAAGCTGTAGACAGGAGGTCTACAGACAAAAGTGTGGTGATTTAGAATAAAGAACACTAGAGCAGCACTGCATTGCAGCCTGGAATAATCGCTAGTGTAGACAGTGAGTCCCTGAGTCATGGGGAAACCATGAAGGTATATTCTCCAGATAGAGAAGGGTGTAGCCCTCCTGGTGAAGAGGAAACACATTCAGTGGTGACAGCAGCACACCCTTGACCTTCGGGACACTCACCATCCAGAGGAGCTCTTCTTCCAGAGTTCTAGAAAACTGAGTGCAGATGGTTTTGGGGGGTTTTTTGGGGGTGGGGAGTTTCAACTCAGGGCCTACACCTTGAGCCATGCCACCAGCCCCCCCCCTTTCTTTGTGGTGTTTTTTTTTTCGAAATCCGGTCTCATGAACTATTTGCCCAGGTTGGCTTCGAACCGTGATCCTCTTGATCTGTGCCTCCTGCGTAGCTAGGATTACAGGTGTGAGCCACTGGTGCCCAGCTTTTTGTGTTCTTAACGTCCCTGCTATGTGCCAGGTACTCTGCCAAGCACCAGAACAACCACAGTCCCTGCCTTCGGGGAGCTGACAGTCTAATGAAGGAATCTGTGAAGATTCAGGTTGACCAAGAATGTTTAACAAGGCAGCTTAGCCTAAACTGGGGAAGATAGCACCACTTCCTTGAGGAAGTGACATTCAAGCAAAGCCCTAAACAATGAAAGGAATTCTGAACAGTCCCTTCTGGCATCTCACCTCCTGGGGAAAGCCTGCATCTGGGGCCCCTGAGGCTTCTGCTCTACAGATGTTGCTGCTGGCACTTGGGAGGAGACGGTGGCAGCACCCTTGGTTCCCTCCTCTGCTGCCTGAACTCTCCCAGCTGGGCTCAGGGGGCCATGCTGCCTGCTAGGTTCATCCAACCTGTGTATGCCTCCCACCCCCCCAACACCTGGGGAGATTGAAGCATGTTTTAAAAGATTGGAGGTTGGGGAATGTCTTGGTCATAATCTGACCAGCATGGAAGCAAAGGAATGCCCAAAACAATCTTGCAAAGCTCCCTCTCCTTCCACCACCCAAGAGCTTACCATTGTCAGCATCAAATGTGGGCTCCACTGTCTGGAGCCAGCCAAGCAGGCTTTAGAGTTTTATTAGACATTAAGATTGTTTCTTAAGGCACAGAAATATAAAGCAAGTCTCCAGCAGCCCCTCCCTCTAGGGAATCTGGTGCTAAATTGTTCCATCCATGAGCAAAGATGTTTCAGTGGCAGGAATCTGACTCCTCTTTCCCCTGGTTCCAGCTTTGTTCCCAGTGGCCACATGGGAGAGGTGGGAATGGGGGAGGGTTGGCGGCCGGAAATCAAACCATAGTGGGACAGGGCTACTAGGTGGTGAGAGTAGAGGCTGTCTCATTGATAACAAGCATCCTTTTCTCCCTGTCTTGGCACCAGACTCTTGCCCATCACCTGGTCCTTTACCCTGGCACCAAGCTGTCGCCATCTCTATCTGTGGAGAGATGAAGATTCCAAGAGGAAAATCAGGGCAGGCCAGAAACACCAATGTGGAGTCTGGATTTGAACCCAAGATCCTAGCCCTCTGTCTTCTGCTCTTAGGCACAGACGCCTCCCATTTGATATTTAATATGTGGAATTAAGGACCTAGAGAAGGGCCCTGCTAGCCTTTGTTAGAAAAAGGCTTCTCCTCTGGGTAAATGCAGCCCTGCAGGTGCGAAGCTTAGCAAGTGGAGTTTGGGCCAGATTTTAGCTCTGCTCACCCCCTTGGCTGGGAGTCCTGTGCAAGCTGCAACCTGTACAACCATTCTTTGATGTTTCCGTGTCAGAAGGCCCTCCCTTCTGCTGGGTCTCAGGTCGCCTTCCCCGTGTGGGATAGTCTCAGGATTCCAAGAGAGGCTGAAACCCCAAGGTGAACTTTGCAGAAAGTTAGCATCCCAGGCCCTGACCTCACGCTAGCTACAGCAGCCTGCAGGGGCGCACTGTCCCCTACTGCCTTTCTTCCTGTCAGCTTTGATGTGCCTAATGCCTCCCTAGTGAGCTCATTGCAGCCCAGGTGGTTCCAATAGAAGGCATTAGGAGGGGGCGTTTGATCCCTTGGAAGACACCCCCCTTTCTCCTGCCAGTCTGACCCTCTGATCTCCCCATACACACTCTAGGTGTCCCTTGGAGATGCTGGTGAGCTATGCTCCACGGGCATATACACTCAAAGTGGAGAGTGCTGCAAAGCCTGCAACCTGGGCGAGGGTGTGGCCCAGCCCTGCGGAGTCAACCAGACCGTGTGTGAGCCCTGCCTGGACAGTGAGTACAGGGTAGCAGGTGGGAAGAGGTGGGACAGAGCATGCTCAGTAGAGACCCTCTAAGTGCCCTGCCTTCTGGCAGGGTCTCCTGCCCACCACTGTATTGTTACCACAAACTGCTCTGAGCCAATATAGGAGGCTTAAAGCAGAGGCTGAGAGTGAATGAGGGAAGTACGCAAAGGGAGGAAGGGGACCTGGTAGGGATCCCCGTGGGTTGCTCCTCCCAGCCCCCAAGCAGAGAGGCCCTATAGAAGAGTGTGGCCAGGCAGCAAGAAGCTCATGCTAAGATTGGCTAAAAATATCTTCTGCACTGCAAAATCAATGGTTGCAACTTACCCTCCGTGGGTTTGGGGGGAGGGGGAGGAGGATCAAATCCTGGCTGCCCTGAAGACTGACCTTGGGGATCCTGGGAAGGTGTGGCTTCCTCCTCCCTCCCCCATGCCCATGGTTCTCTAGCTTTGACCCAGGAAGCCAGCTTTCTCAGGCAGCAGCTATGGGGTGCAGATGTCCTTACTAGAAGGTGACACGGAGTGGGGGAGGAGAGAAGGAGCTGTGTCCATTCCTGCCTGGAATTTCCTTCCCGAGAGTGAGAACCCTGTCATCCAGGCATGGTGGACAGGGGAGGCAGAGGGATGACAGATCTGGGTCCCCTTCGTCCCAGTTTTGCCTAGGATCTGAATTCTGTGCTCTTTGGAGGTAGGAGTCTCTGTTCACTGGTCATCCCAAGGCTCAGTTGCTGCCTGGCTGGAGGCCCATGCCCTGACTGCTGTCCTTCAGATCCTGCCCTTTACCTGGCATTCCGTGCTCGGCTGGAGGGCTGGGGAACCACACTCTGCTCATTCTTTAGTACCACTGGAAACAGGGTACAGGTCTGGGAACTCTGAGCCCACCTGGAAGCCTAGTCTTACCTCCTATGCACCCCTGTCCCCCAGCCTCCCTACACTTCAGGTGACCCCACTTCATTGGTGTTCCGCAAACACACACTTTTCATCCTCTGTGCGGGTGAATTCTGTAACCCTGCTGCCAGCAGTGGGACACCTGGCCCGGGTGGGAGGCCCACCTTGGTGGGTAGATTACCTAGTCAGCTGGCACCTTTCCCAGTCCCTAGTCTTACAGGGTGTCCATCCCAGGATAGGATGAGCCAACTATTGGCTGTACTGGCACACCAAGGTCTGCTTCTTGTTGCTTAGACTCTAGTCCAGCTCTGCTGCTTGGACCTGAACCTCCTAGGACTGGTCCCCCACTCCCCTTTCAGCAGGAAGTAGGATTGCAATCCAGCAGAGGGATGGTCCGGAATCTTGGGAAGGAGAATAGCAAGGGAGGCAGAAGCAGAAGACAGCTCGAGACTGAAGAACCTTCCCTTACCCCCCTTTCCTCCAGCCCCCTCCAGCTGTTAACAGGCTGCTTTTACAAGCCCACTTTATGGGATGGAGACCCCAGTGGACTTTCCCTCTATCCTCAAAATGTTTCCACAAGGAAACCTATTAAGCTCCTGCCTTCATGCTTTGCCAAAAAAGACCACATTTTTCACACCACCTAAAACCCTCTCCCAGGAGTTGTCTACTAATTTCTGTATTTTCCCAGGAGCAGGGCTTTTCTCTTCCCTCCAATGTCACTAGACCCACCCCCTTGCCATGGTGGCTGGATAGGATCCTCTTGTTTGAACAGATCGGACATCCTTCCTGGCTGTTTAGCAGTCTGCTGTCTGACTGTATCTCTCCCACTGAAGTTCACTGAACTTATCATTGCCCACCTGTGGGGCCAACCTTTATAGGATCTGTGCTGTGTGTCAAGTGCATATGTTACCACTGAACTTCATTTATTCTTCATCACAATCCTGTGAGTGGAAATACTATCCACTTCCCACCCTCTCACCACCTTTTTTTTTTCATTTTTCTTTTATTATTCATATGTCTCACAACCTTTTTAAAAAAATTTTTTGAAACAGTCCCCAAGCTGGCCTTGGGCCTTTTTTTTTTTTTTCAGTCAGTACTGGAGTTTGAACTCAGTGCTTGCAAGGCAGGTACTCTACCACTTGAGCCACTCCACCAGCCCCATTTTGTATTGGCTATTTTTCAAGATAGGGTCTCACGAACTATTTTGCCCAGGTCTGGCTTTGAACTGATCTCTCTAGACATGCACCCAGGTATTATTTCCTATTTTACAGAGAAAGAAAAATGCTCAGAGAGGTTAAGTAAAACACCCAGAGTCACATAGCCAATATGTTATGGAATAGACTTTTGAATCCAGATCTGCCTGTTCTCTAAGAAAAAAAAACTACGGGTTCAACTGGAAGTTGAAGTGTCCCCAGCCCTTTCTCTCTCTGTCTGTTCTCTGCCCCCATTTCTGCTCTTTCACTTCTCTTCGGGGGTTGTCCTTCTTTGCCTCACTACCTCACCCCCACCTCCCAGGATATGACCCCATGCTCTATCTTGTCTCTTGATACTTCAGATGGGGTTGAGACAGGACCCCACAGGAGGTCCCATTTCCCTCCCAAAGTCTTTCTACTTCTGCTTCCACATTCCGAGCACTCCCTGGTTTTCCAGGTTCTAAATTCTTGGGTAGCTCCTCCTGGATTGGCATAGAATTCTCCACCCAGGTTGGAAGGGACCAAGATCTGGCTCTATCCCTTCCTGGCTCCTTGCACAGAAGCTGAGGACACTCCACCTCCTGCCTTGTTCCGGAGCTCACATCCATTAGTTAAGATGTGAGTCAAGGGAGGGTACAGAACTGTATACACAGGCTTTGATCCTTCCTGTACCTGAACTCTCTTGCCAGGAGCCCTGTCCCCACCCTCAAGAGCCAAGCCCTTGGGCAGGCAGCGTGGGGTAGCGACATGGGTGGGGAGTTCTGGTTTAACCCCAGTCACCCCCAGTTGGTCCCCACCTGAGCCCCCACACGTGGACAGAGGGACAGGAAGGGCAGCTGAGACAGAAGCTCCTGAGGGAAGGCCTACCAGTGCCTGGGCCCAGTGTGCAGCCAGAGGGAAAGGTTGGGTGGGAACCCCGCTCAGATTATTCCTTAATCATGCTGGGAACAAGGGTTCAGGGCTGGGAAGCTCTAAGATGATTTGCCAAGGAATTTACCAGCACCAGCTGGGTTACTCCCAGGGAAGCCTCAGGACCAGGTCTTCTGGGACCTAGAGGATGGGGCTCCTGGCCCCCTTCCCAGTCAGCTACCGCCAGCTTTCACAGGCTGGGGATCAGGCACTCAGGAATGAAGGTGGGAATCAATGAGCAGGGGAAGCTGACCCGGGGGCGAGGGGTGGGGGGTGGCGGGCAAAACACTCCCCTAATGGCATTGGGCAGGGAGAGACTCCTGCTCCTGCATTCCAAGTGCCCAAAGAGCAGGTGACTAAGTTCCCGTGCTGCTTCCCTGCTTGTCCCTCTGCCTTCAGGCGTGACTTTCTCCGACGTGGTGAGCGCCACGGAGCCCTGCAAGCCGTGCACCGAGTGCGTGGGTCTGCAGAGCATGTCAGCACCATGCGTGGAGGCTGACGACGCCGTGTGCCGCTGCGCCTACGGCTACTACCAGGACGAGGTGACCGGTCGCTGCGAGGCGTGCAGCGTGTGCGAGGCGGGCTCAGGCCTGGTGTACTCATGTCAGGACAAGCAGAACACCGTGTGCGAGGAGTGCCCCGACGGCACGTACTCCGACGAGGCCAACCACGTGGACCCGTGCCTGCCCTGCACGGTGTGTGAGGACACCGAGCGCCAGCTGCGCGAGTGCACGCGCTGGGCGGACGCTGAGTGCGAGGGTAAGCGCGGTTGGCGCGCCGGGCGGCCTGGGGGCCACCAGGCACACCGGGATGCTGGAGCGGTGAGAAAGGGCGCCCTCTGGGGGTCGTGAAGACTGGCCTTCCAAGACTGCTCTGTGACTTTCAGCCAGTAGGCCCCTTCTCTGAGCCTCAGTCCCTTCTTGGTAACCTGAGGGAGGAGGTAGTCCCGATCTTTTCTCACCACAGGACCCCTTTCATATTTCCATCTGTTGGCTAAGAGTTGGGAAAACCCACCATTATCATCTTTAGTGGCTGGAAGGGGGCCACCTCGGCCAGAGCAGGCCATATGCCATCCTGAGGCAGGCTTTCCCAGCTGGAAAGGGACTGGAGGACCTGAAGGACTGGGGACCCCTTTGCCCTGAGATGTGATGTTGGCTTATGGTCTAGGACCACAGTGACATCAGGAAGATTGCTCCTGTCTCTGGTCTTGCTTCAGATCTCTCACTGGCCATATGGTTACCAGTGTTATTGAGGGCTAGGGACCACAGGTGGGACTGGCTCACTTGCCTTGTGGTATCTGGGTGCAGAGCCCAATCATTGTGGCAGTTTAGTGAAGGGTAAGATTGGATGCAGAGAACACCAAAGTCGTGTGTGTGTGTGGGGGTGGGGGTGGCAGAATGAAGGGAAGTGGAGGGTTAGGGGCATGGCTCTAGTGGTAGAGCACCTGCCTAGCAAGCTCAAGGCCCTGAGTTCAAACCTCAGTACCACAAAAAAGGAGGGGCAGGGAGTGGCATGCCTGGGGCCTGGAAGCCCAAGGTCAAGGTAATGTACACATGGAGGACAAGGTAGGATTCACCTCTTCCAGTTGGGTGGGAGCTTCAGCCATGCCTGGGGCCCCAAGGAGATGTGTAGACCTGGGATGGAAGGAGGACACACCTGGAAGCCAGGACAGAACCTATTCGATCTCTGGTTGGTGCTGTCCATATTGGGGAATGGGTCATTTCCACTGCTGGGAGAGGCTGGCAATAACTTTCTATTCTGATCATCACCCCCTGCTCAAGTGCACATTGGGCTGTTGTTCTCCTTCAAGAGCTAACCTTAGGTTAGCCCTTGCTCTGTGCGAGCCTGTGTTGCTCTGAGCAAGGCGACACAGTGTCTTTTCAGGAGAGCCCCCTGTTTGGCTTGACAGAGACAGCCTTGGCCCTGGTCTGATGAAGGAGGCACCATTCTATCATCTTGTTCTCAACTGAGAGGGAAGACAGCCCTAGCTTTGGAGAGCCCCTGGTGTGTTTGTTCGTTTGGTTTTTTGTTGGGTTTTTTTTGGTGGCACTGGGGTTTGAACTCAGGGCCTCAAGTTTGCTAGGCAGGTGATCTTACCACTTGAGTCACTCCACCAGCCCTTTTCTGTGATGGGTTTTTTTGAGATAGGGTTTTGAGAACTATTTGCCTGGGGCTGGCTTCGAACCTCGATCCTCCTGATCTCTGCCTCCTGAGTAGCAAGGATTACGGGTGTGAGCTACTGGCTCCCGGCTGAGCCCCTGCTTTCATGGAAGCATCATAGCTTCTGCCTTTAGTCAGCTTCTGGTTAGATGGGAGAGATAGATGCCTTGCTCTTGAGGGCCTCCTGACATCCAATCAGGGCTCCCACCACTCCTCTCCTGCCCTCCCAATGCTGTGAGCGTGCTCATTGAGTGCAGGCTGGAGAGCGCTGATTAGCTGGGATATAGCCCAGAATGTGTTTGAAGCACTGGGCAAGGAGTGGGGAAGGAATGAAGCATTGACCCCAGGGCGGCTATGGTAGAGATTGCCCTGGGCCAGGAGGCAAACAAGTAGCATCAGGTGTTAGGCAGAGCACAGACGAAGCTTCAGTAGCCAGGCAGCAAGGAAGTGGGCAGCAAGGTTCCTTGGGCAAGTCAGGACCAACCCAGTGGGGGCAACCAGTCAGGGGCACGGTTAGAGCAAAGAAAGGAGGTGATTGGGCAAGAGACAGGCACTGCTGTGTGGGGCATTCACACATTCCTCCCAGATGCCACTGTACTTTCACAGCCATCTTCAAGGAGGAGGGGGCTCCTGAGGAGGTGTGTTTATCCTGTCCTGTTCGTTCCCCTTTCAGCTCCAGCCTCCAAAAGGTTAAATGTGAGCTCCAGGACAGAGGGTCCATTGCAGGAAATGGAATTTGATTCTCAGTTTGGTTGCCCCCTCCTGTCCATACTTCCCTGCATATGCATTTCAGGTAACATGGTGACTCACCCACCCTTGGGGCAGAAAGCACCTCTTGTCCCCGTGATGTTTAGGAGGAGTCATCTGGTCCCTCCTTCCACCCCCAAGTCTGATAGCTCCCATTCCGGAAATGGCTGTCGGGACCTGCCAGGGCTTAGGGGGCTGGAATGCTAGTGGACATGGCCACATCTGGATCTCATCCCTGCCCCATTAGAGGGGCTGGAGAGGTGTGGGAAATCACTTGGATAGGCAGCACTGTCTTCAGTGTGGCCTGCCCCTCTCAGCCCTTCCTTGCTGCTCTCTCATATTGGTCATGACCTGATTCATCCCCCTGCCCCCTAACACACACCCCTCAGCCTCTGAATTGGGGGTGCTGGTCTGAGCTGAGCTGTGTCTGGGATTGGGCTACCCCACAGCCTGCCCAGTCCCCTAGCTGGTTACAAAAAGACACTCCCAGCTCCAGTGTCCTGTCTGGGGCTTCCAGAAGACTGAGTTGTGTCTCCTCTGCTTCCCGCCCCACTCCCTTCAGCCCCTCCCAGAACTAAGATGTGGGGGAGGGGTGGGATGGGGCAGCAATGACAACCCTCTCCCCACTGCCAGCCAGATGGATTCCAGACTCACATCTGGGGGCCTTACCCCTCAGAAGGTGCTGAAAATGGGGGCCTTTGAAGCATATTTGTCTTGAACCGGGGAGGTTTAGAAGACCAATGGGCAACTTTGACTCCAGCTTGGGTGGGCACTGTGCAGGACAGAGCTGGAGAACAAGGTGCCCTCCCATTTACCCCATGGGCATGCCCTTTCTGCTTTCCTTCCTTGCCCTAGGTGTGGGAAATGAGGACAGATGGCGGAGGCAGCTTTGCTCAGACAAGTACCCCCAGGCCGTCCAGAGCCCACAACCCTTAGCATTGCCCCTGGCTGGATGGCAAAATGGAAAATCCTATCCTTTGGTGCCAGGAAGTACCGGGGCCTCTGCCAGAGAGGCTGGCAATGCCCAGCTGGCATGAGAGGGCCTAGGTGGGTGGCCAGGCACAGTCTCCCTCCCCTTGAGGCAGTGGGCAGTACCTGCCTCATAGGCCTTCTCTCCAAGAGCAGTCTGTTTCCCTCTGATGGTCTGCTTGGGTTACAGGACATGGGTGCCAAGGCCAGACTGTGTGGGGCCAGGTAGGGCAGGAAACAGAGGCTGGCCACTGTCCAGAGACTGACTGAAGGGAAGCAAGTCAGCTGCACCCTCCACCCCCAACCCAGGCTTAGCGCATGGGACATCAGAGATAGGAAGGGAGGCTGAGTGCCACCCTCGGGGCAGCACCTCTGACCAGACCTGAGTGTCCTCAACCTTTCTTAGGCCTGCAGTCATCTGGGCACTCTGGGGCCAGAAAAGTTATGCCATTTCCCTGAGTAATTTGGACACTGCCCCAGCTGGAGGCATTCGCATAGCTCAGACGTCTGTATGTGTTTGCAGCATGCATACTCAGGGAAACTAGACTAGAATTCTAGGTCCACAGCCCAAACGGAAGGAGGCTTAGAGACCATCTCTCTTAATAGGTCCATTCTCTGGATGGGAAAATCAAGATCCCAGCACTGATAGCGCTGAAGTAGGCCCAGATCTCCCAATTTGCACCCCTTGTTCTCTCCACCAGCCTGATGTCATATATGCAATTCCAGCTCCTACCCCTGGACACCTAGAACCAGGGACAGGGCTCAGGAAGAGGCACTGGAGCTGTTCAGAGCATAAGGGGAAGGACCTGGAGTGGACTATGAACCCTCATTCCTGTGGCCTTGTCCTTCAGAGATCCCTGGCCGTTGGATTACCCGGTCTACACCAACAGGGGGCTCAGACAGCACAGCCCCCAGCACCCAGGAGCCTGAGGTACCTCCAGAGCAAGACCTCGTAGCCAGCACGGTGGCAGACATGGTGACCACGGTGATGGGCAGCTCCCAGCCAGTAGTGACTCGAGGCACCACTGACAACCTCATCCCTGTCTATTGCTCCATCCTGGCTGCTGTGGTTGTGGGCCTCGTGGCCTACATCGCCTTCAAGAGGTGAGACAGGCATGGTGGGGAACAAGTGGGGACATTTGCCCTCAAGGAGGGCTTTGCTCCGCCCACATACAGCCTTTTAACTCAACCTGAAGCCAAGCTCACCCTCAGTCATACCAGCTGATCCGCTCCAGGGTGTGGCAGTTCAGTGGGAGGTGAGGGAAGAGGATTTCACATTCCATCTTGTCTTATCCTGGCTTAAGCCACTTCCTACTCCCAAATTGCAACCTCCCCTCCCTGACTGCCCCCACCCTTCAATTGCTTTTGACCTTAGCCCCCAGTCCCATTCATCTCTTCTCCTCCCATGTGACTCATGGGCTCCTTTGGCATCCACATCAAGAAACCCAGGTTGTACAAGAAGTCCTAGAAGGCATTTTAGCTTTTGTGGGTTTTTTTGGTGGCACTGGGTTTGAACTCAGGGCATCACATTTCACATTTGCTGGGCAAGAACTCTTTTCACTTCAGCCACTCCATTGCCCCTTTTTCCTGATGGGCTTTTCAAAATAGGGTCTTTCAAACTGTTTGCCCAGGACTGGCTTCAAACTCTGATCCTTCTTATTTCTTACTCCTGAGTAGCTAGGATTATAGGCGTGAGGCACAGGTGCCCAGCTTATGCTAGGTATTTTTTGTTTTTATTTTTTGGCACTACTGTGGTTTGAACTCAGAACCCCAGGCTTGCTAGGCAGGCCCTTTAACCACTTAAGCCACTCTGCCAGCCCCTGGAAGGCATTTTAAAGTTTTAAATGCATGTTCCATTCTTTTTATAAAAAAATCATCAAAGTAATACATGCTTGTTTAGGAAAATTAGAACAAGAACAGAAAAAAATGAGACCAGTTTTTTTCTTGGTGGTTTGGGGATCAAATCCAGGCCCTGTGCGCACTAGGCAAGTGCTGTATCACTGAACTTACAGCCCCAGCCCCAAGACCGAGGTCTTCTAAGGCAAATTGTAATAACTTCCTTTTTTCTCTCCAAATCCTGCCCATCTCCTACTTGGGACCTGTTTGGAATGTATTCTTCTTAACTATTTTCTGTACATTTTTTTTGTATAAATACACACATATAAAACTTTTTATAAATTATATATAAACATGCAGGGTTTTTTTTAAAGCCTCAATGGGATCACACTATGTATATTCTACAATATGCTTTTTCATTTAACCCTCCCTCAGGAGAACTGTCCTTGGAACATAGATTATCTGATCATTTGCAACACTCATTCAATAGGATGGGTCATAATTTATTTAGCCAATCCCCTCTTGATGGACATTTGATTTGTTTTCCGATTTTGTTATTGCTTATAATTGCTGAGGAGAAATCCTTATGTGTGTGTGTGTGTGTGTATATATATATATGTGTATATATATATATATATATATATATATATATATATATATATATATATATACAATTGCCCACATGTGGGAGTACTTTAGAAGGGTAGATTGGGAAAAGTAGAATTCCTGGGAAGTCATTTATTTATACACCATTCATTTCACGAACAATTATTGAATGCTTACATAGAGCCCCCACCCTTACCAAGCTTTCATTGTATGTAGGAGGCATATGTGTAAAGAAATAAATGCCTTAGACATGGCAGGTACCTCACATGCCCCTCACCCACACGTCAGGGCACAGATTCCTCAGCCTCACTGTGCACTGCAGCCCTCACCCTGAGACCTGGCCTGTCCCTGGCTCCAGGTGGAACAGTTGCAAACAGAATAAGCAAGGAGCCAACAGTCGGCCAGTGAATCAGACACCCCCACCGGAGGGAGAGAAGCTCCACAGCGACAGCGGTATCTCTGTGGACAGCCAGAGCCTGCATGACCAGCAGCCCCACTCGCAGACGGCCTCAGGCCAGGGTGAGCAGAGATGGGATGCAATTAAGATTAGATTTTAAGAAGGACTGCCAGAGGGATGGGTAACTGCCTTTGCAGAAGGGTGGGAGAGATAGAGTGGGGAGAATGGGAAAGAGAGGTGCTTTCCAAGGATGGTTTGGAAAATGGAGGCGTTTATAAGCCCAGACTCATCAAAAGCTCATTTTCCCCCCTGGGGGCTAATTACTGCCCAAAGTAGCTGCAATTAGCCTCCTGCCCTGGACTTCTGGGGAACAGTGGTTAAGTGTGTACCCCAATTAGCGGCCCACAGCCTGGTTCCAGGACACTTGCTGTATTTGTCTGGAGCTGAGGGGTCCAGGCTCCTCCTCTACCTTGATTATTTGCTGGGGGGGAGGGAATGGAGGAGGCTAGGCAAGAGGGTGATGCTGGACTGTGGGTGAGGAAGGGAGTGAGTTAGCATCCTCCAGGCCTCTCCCATCCCAGGCCCCATTCAGGACCTCTAGCCCCAGATTGGGAGGAGAATACATTGCCCCTTCTGGAGTCTTACCCCAAGCCCACTGTGGGAAAGGGGATCCAGGGGGAGGACCTGACTGCCTCTGGTTCTTGGCAGCCCTCAAGGGTGAAGGAGGCCTGTACAGCAGCCTGCCCCCGGCCAAGCGTGAGGAGGTGGAGAAGCTGCTGAATGGCTCTGCCGGGGAGACCTGGCGGCACCTCGCGGGCGAGCTGGGCTACCAGCCCGAGCACATAGACTCCTTCACCCATGAGCCCTTCCCTGTCCGTGCCCTGCTTGCCAACTGGGCTGCCCAGGACAGCGCAACCCTCGATACCCTCGTGGCTGCCCTGCAGCGCATCAAGCGACCTGACATTGTGGACAGCCTGTGCAGCGAGTCCACAGCCACATCCCCGGTGTGAGCCTACCTACTGGGGAGCCCCTGCCCTGCCCCCACATTCCAACGACTGATGCTCCAGCCAGTCCCCGTGGAGCCTGTACACCCAGGGATGGGCCAGCAGTCAGAGCTGAGCTCCTCTGTGTAGGGCCTCCAGGCCCAGGACCCCAAACCACAGCTCTGTCACTGCCCCCAGGGTGGTCCCCTTGCTTCTGATCACACACCCTCTCCAGGGAGAGATGGACCCCACCTCCACCCACAGTGCCCTGCCCCATCCCTGTCTCATGTCTTTCCTCCCTTTTCCCACTGCTGGGTGGGCCAGTCCCTCCTACCTTAGCAGGTGACAGATTCCAGGGCTGACACCAGGGATGGTATTGGGGGCGGTGATGAGGCCCCAGAGACTCAGAGGAACCAGAGCCATGGACTCTACACTGTGAACTTGGGGAGCAGGGAGCATCACAGTGGCCTAAACCCTCCCTCAGCCCCCTCGCCCCTCCCCTCTGGCCAGAGATGAAGAGGATCAGAGGCCTGAGCTAGAAGCAACTAAGAGACCCAGTCCACCCACTTCCTTTTACACACAGGACAGTGAGGCCCAGAGAGAGGAAGTGACTTGCTGAAGCCACCCAGCGATGAGGAGGGCAAATGTAGGTTGACACTCCCCTCTCTGAATGAGGGGGCCTCAGGTTTTCTTGAAGGCTGGGAAGGGGGTACCAAGTGACCTTCAGGGAAATGTCTTGAAGCCAAGTCTACTCCACTCCCCACCACCTTCAACTCCCTGTCCAGTCTCTGTGGAGATGGGCTGCTTGCCCAAAACCTGTTCCACAGACTCCTGATGGAGCTGGATAGGGGTTTGTGGAATGGAGTGCTGCCTCCTCCCACCTGCCTCCCTCAGGCTTGTCCAGGTGGCATTTGTGGAGTGGTCCATTTCTTGGTGCCCTCCTTGCTGGCATAGACCTGGAGCCAATACTGGCCCCTAGACTCAGCCCTAGGGGTCAGAGACTGAGGACCCCTGCCACACACAGAGACACACACAGGATGACACATCTTGCTTTTCTCCATGAGTTCCTTCTGTGGGGCTAAGACTGGATCCTGCCGGGGCCACTGCCAGAGAAAGCAATGGAGACTGCTGAGCTCTGCGGGGCGGTCTTCCTTCGCCCCGGGTTTGGCAGGCCAAGGACTGTCGAGGCTTAAGCTGGCGTCTGTCTTCCAAGGCCTGCACGTGGAGGAATGCTCTCTTCCTCCCTTTCCCCAGGCACAGGTTTGGCTGCGCCCAGGAGGCTGCAATGGAGAAAAGTGGGCCAGTGTGGGAATGCAGCAAGAAGGAATGGAATAGGATTGATTTCCTTAGCATGGTCAGAAAGGGGCATGAGGTCCCCATGGCATTTTCACCCCCTCCCTGGCCTGTTCTGTTTTGCTTGCTGTTAGAATGAGTGTGGCTCCCCTTCTATTTAGCATGAAGGAGCCCCAAGCAGGGTGTGCACGGACTGCCACCCCTCCCAACCCAGGGAGGAGGAGTGTTACCTGCCAGCCCCTCTCTTGAAGACATGGGGAGTGGGACAGTCTGTATTTATTTTTCTCCCTAGCAATTGGGGAGGGACGAGGGGAACTGCAAGTATGGTTAGCATGTGTTTGGTTCTGGGGCCCCTCCTGCCTACCTTTGGGCCAAGATGGAACCCTTTTGGCCCTTTAGCTGGGGGCTGCAACCTCCAGACTCCTCATCACCCCACCCTGTCACCTCCCCCTTGCATCCTGTGTAATCATTTCTTGGGACTTCCCAAAACCTACACATAAAACATAAGCAATGAGCATTAAATAGCAAAGAAAGAAAAATGGTGCAAAGAGATTTTCTGAAAATACCATGGTTTGAGTTGGGGCAGTGTGTATTTCAGGGGTCTCCAGTATAATTTCCAACTTGTTGAGTTACTGTTTTATTTTTCCTAAATTTTAACTGAAATCCAGCAAACCCATGCATGTAGTCATGACGTTCATGTGAGTGGGAGGGGGGACCCTTTGCTTTCACTTCTTGAGGGAAAGTAAAAACGGCCATACAGGAAGTTAGCCAGCTGTGAACCTGACCAGTTGTCATAAGTGAAACTGACCACAGGGGAACCAGAGGCTGGCTAGGAGGGCCAGGTCACAACCCCACAGCTCTCAGCCACCCACATGGCCTGTGAGACACACCACGCACATGCACACACACGAACAGGATCTGGTTCCAGATGGCCTGGCCTGGAGTCTGACAGACAAGCCCCTCCCTCGAGGCTCTGGTAAGCAGGTCCTAACCCAGGATCCTGCCTGGCCCAGGCTTAGGTGCTTCCCGGGCTGCAGGGCTCCTGCCTCCAGACCTGTGCTCCCTTGAGGCTGGCTGGTCAGGTGGTCAGAGATGCTTAGCCCCTGCTGGTTGCTTGACAATGTCCTCAGGTGGAACTGGCTTTCAGTCACCTGGGAAGGCAGAAGGAGGCTTGATCTTCCCAAACCAACAAAGAAGACTTCCAGACCCAGGGAGAAGGGCCAGAGGGGCCCAGCCAAGAGTCAGACAAGGGGTGGGAGGCTGGTGAGGAAGATGTGGATGTGGGGAGGAGGGGCTTAGAGGAGGTAAGAAATCATCCTTGTCCTGGAAAACCCCTAGTGTAATGGCAGAGACAGTGTCTGTTTTGGGGGTACCTCTGGTCTGATGGAGAAAACAATCCCAAATTGGGGGCATTTCTCCTGATGAGGGGTTCCCACCTCCTGTCCTAAGAGAGCTCCCATTCTGATGGAAGGAATACAGTCTTTGCCCTAAAGGAGCCTCTTGTCTGGTGGGAAAAATCACATGCTGTCCCATGTCACATGGAAAATAAGGGAGACACAAATCCTGCTTTCAGCGATTATGCACTCTTGAGAAAGATAGAGCAGGCAAGCCCTGCACAGCCATGGCAGGATGAGTTGGGCCCCAGCCCAGACCCAAGCGCCCAGGGGTCAGGGAAGGGACAGGAAAACTGAGCTGCTGAGGGTGAGTGAGTGAGAGGCCTGGGGAAGAGAGGCCTCTGGCCTAGGACTCAGCTAGAGTCCTTCCGCCCTGAAGGGGGAGGCAACAGAGGCTGATGGGGAGCCTGGAGCCCAAACAGGGAAGGGAGGGAGGGCAGCCAGCCAGGGCTTACACAGAGTCTGGCTGAGGAAGCTGGTCTAGGACTCAGCTGGAGCCAAGGTTCCAGAGAGTCCCACTGCACCCCTCCCCACACTGAGGGAGAATTCCCCCTTTGCCCTCTTCAATTCGACCTCTGTCCTGCACCCTTCCCCAATTCCCCCTCAAGAGCTAAAATGCTCTCATAGCTTCCCAGCCCTACTGTGGTCATAGAGGGCTGTGTGAGGCCTCTGCCAAATGCCCCAGACTCACTGCCTGGCTCCTGCCTTCCTCACTCACACACACACCAATTCCTCAAACTTTGCTATTACCTCTAGCCACAGGACCTTTGCATATGTTGTCCTTCTGTCTAGAGCACTCTGTCCCAAGTTACCTCAGTCTAGTGTTTCTTTGGGGAAGCCCTAGCTATACCCTGGGCCCAATAAGGTTTCATGATTCCAGCTTCGGAGAATGCCACGGTCCACTACTTTTCTTTAGATTAGTTGATCTCTCTTTGTAATTAGGCACCCATCTGTGTGATTGTTTGATTACTATCACCTACAGGAAACCAGAGAAAAGCTTTGGTGTTGCTCATCTAATCCTTAGCACCTTGCCTGGCATAAAACTCGCACCCAACACAATTATGCTAATAAATGATTAGTGGGCTCTGAAGCAGCTCTGTCCGACAGAAATGTACCACAAGTGACATATATGTACTTGTAAGTTTTTTAGTAGCCGTATTATACAAGTAAAGAGAAAACAGGTAAACTTGCAAATACACTTAGCCTAATAGATCTAAAGTATTATTTCAACAGATAATTGATAGTTTTACATTGTCAAAATCCTATGTGTATTTTATTTTTACAGCACTTACCAATTTGGACAAGCCACATTTGAAGTGCCAATAACCACATGTGATTGGTGGCTACCACACCGGGCAGCTCAGCTCTAGGGAAGTGTACCTCATTCCAAGCCCTCAAGGGCTCAGAGGGCAGAGCTTGCTTCCTCCTTTGTCATTAGTGTTCTTGGGCCTGAGGCCTTGTACTCGTTCCCTCCCCCTCCCCCTCCCTTTCACCCCCCAATTCATCTGGCCTCTGAGCTCAGGTCCTGGAGCCTCTCAGTCTCTTTCATTCACTGGGCTGGAGGCCGAGGCCCCTCATCTTTGCCGGTCCATCAGCCCCATCCCTTCCCTTTATGCCTCCCTCCCCTCTGTCAGTCAGTGCAACAAAGAAACTGAGCCCAGCCTTAACAATGTGTAAAACTTTTGCATCCAGAGCAGAGGGCCATGGCAGGGGCCCTGAGCTGATAGTCCAGTGTTCCAGGGGAAGAAGGGGCTGGACCAGTGCTGGGGTCAAGAGGAGACATTTCCTGTGATGCTCTGGGCTGGGGGGTCTGCTGACCATATGCCTGGGGGAGGCAGCTCCTCTGATAATGCAAAGCAGATCCTCCCCAGCTTTGTGGCAGCTGGTGGGCAGAAGGCCAGGGGACAAGGCTGGGCCCCCAGGCATCTGGATGCAGAAGAGCCAAGGCAAGGAGGCCTCCTTCTTGAGCCTCCTGTCCCCTAAGTCCCCCCTCAACTCCTCCCAACACCCTGCCCTCCTGCTGACCCTTCCTAGCCACACCAGATGTCCTCCACTGTCCTGCATCCAGCTTGCTGTCCCGCTCCCTTAAAGCAGGGTACTCTTAGCACTCATCCTTAGGTGTCTCCAGGGCAAGGCCTCTATTCAGACCCTGGGTGGCCATCATGAGCCACACACACAGGGTGAGTCCTCCCAGGCCCAACTGGAAGTTAGGAATTCCACGATAATCCCCATTTCCCAGCCCCACAGCCATCCTGGAGGTAAGGCCAGGAACATTTCCCAGAGGCTCCATCATGGAAGAACATTCTGGAGCATTCCAATTCTCATCCTTCATCCCTCCCAGGACACTTGGTGTTGCCACCTTCCCACAGCATCTTGGGCTCATCCCAATCCCGGTGCTCTCTTCCCAGCAATTCTTGCTCTATTTCCAGCAACATTCCCCAAGGACTCTTGGGTGAGGTAGGTTTGGGTCTCCTCCTTGGTCTGGGAGTGAGTGCTCTCTTTGGAAAAGTCTAGGAATGCTCCCATCCCCCTCAGTAGTCCCATGACTCAGAATTTAAGGGTCTCTGTGTCACCTGGCAGGAGCCTGAAGCCTCCCTGAGAAGCCCTTGACCTGGGCCTCAATGTCCATAAGCTGGGGCCTCAGCCCTACCCCAAGGCTTCCATCAGACCAGATGGTTCTCATTCTACTCCTACCAATCTAGGATGTCAGCACACCACACAGGATGTACAGGCCAGGGGCACAGAGAAGTCCA